CTTTTACAATATCGATGATGCTTGGAATGACACTAAGCAACCAATAAAACCAAAGGTAAATATTAACTAAGATATAAGTTATATTAAAAACTAACTATATCTTTATCTTTTCTATATTAAAGCGCTTTACGAATTCGATGCACGATAGTAGTGGTTCGAATATTTATGATAGTTGGCGTTCCACACGTCATGGAGATTATTACTATGATAGTCAAACAAACTATTCACAAAAAGGTGATTCACTGCAACGTTCACTGCACCACCAGAGTCATCATCAACCCAAACAATCCCAACAAACTGCACACCACCACCAGTCATACCCACACCAGCAATCATACGCTCATCAATATCCTGATGCATTTGCGGATGCCCATCAAATGTATACCTATAATAATCACTCGAGTAGAGGGCGCTATCCCAGAGATTATGATCCAGACTTTTAGATTCTAGTAAACTAGTAGTGCTCTCTGGTATAACTCCTTACACTTTTATAACTACTCTTTTATTTATGTATTGTAATTAAAACAAGATAGCAATTTTTAAAATAATTTCTTTTATACTAAAATAATGAAATTTAATTTAATGTCTAATGAATAAAAAAATTTAATGTAAGTGACGCAGATTTAAAAAAAAATTGCATTTAGCAATTTATTGTAAATTTTGATTTTTAACAAATTAATTTTAATTTTTTAATTTGTTTTTTTTTTTTTATATTTATTATAAATATTTGGTTTGTATTTATTGTCTTCCGTTTAGATTAGATTGTAATTGGTTTTTTTTTATTCGGTTTATTAAAGTGCCTTGCAAATTGTTTAATTAAATTAATTAAAAAACTGATAATGGATTGAGAAAAATTTCTAAATTTGTTAAATTGATTTAAAATTAATTTTATTTATTAAGTAACTAAATGGAATACTTATAATTCAATATAAATGAAATATGAGAATGTATTAGTCAATCTTAATTTTAATTATAAGCAAAAAAAACTAAAAATCTAATGTTAGTCTAAGTAAACATTATTGTAAAAAATAATATATAATATAAATATAATTTTATAAAGGAATTAATTATTTTTATTTTAATATAGTTGATATAATTGATATAAATTTTTTTTTATATTTATTTTATTTATATATGTATTATTCTAACCTGGTATTCAATATACTAGCAATTGCAAGCATTATTACTGCGTCTATGCAAGTACGTAATCAGGGGGTTGGGATTAAGAGCCTAAAGCCCTACCTTAAATATATCCAAGTACTATACGAGTATTTATGCGTTTGTGTATATATTAATTAAGCAATCGGACTTCAATGATTTTTTTAAATTATTGAAAGCATCTGAAAGCACTCCGCCAGAGGTACATTGCTGGATATCAGCCTTCTGCCGACTGTTTAAACAATATGATACTCGAATTAAAAAGTTTGGACCGAGTGCTAGAACATCTTTAAACTGCCAAAATGGCATAGTTACTGACTATATAATTCCAGCTCCATTGACTGAGATGAGAGCTTACTAAAAAGCCGAAACAAGTAGACAGCAGTAATTATTTCTATATCGTTTATAATATAACATGCATCTTACATCTCTTTACGATCTCTTTCAGATTAGTATCTTTTTAGTATTTACTGATTTTTTGTGCTGCTCTTCGTCTCTAAGTAAACGAAAAACACTACACATTTCGAATGAAAGCCAAAATGTTAGCTGTTAAGCACATCCTGACATCAGACGGATATTGGGACTACGGGTGTAGTAATTATCCTCCTGTCTAAATCAAAAACGGACAGTCATGGAGAATGTAACTAATTTGCCAAGCAGAGTCAAGATTCTGTTTCTTTAGATACAACCATAAGTTGGTTCTGCAAGCCATGTGATGACCCTTTAATTAAACTGTTAAAATCTCAACACTGTTTAACTAAAGGGGAACACCTATAGGTGCTATAGGTGTATATACAAACAACTGTTTAGTCTGTCGGTTAATTGGAGTGTTGAACCAGTACAGTCCTTTTGGTTACAAAACACTTTTCTATATACAATCTCCTAGTGTGATTGTTAATATTTCCGTTAATTATTAATTTAAGCTTGTCTTTTTTGCTTCTTTGCTATTCAGCGCATTGTGGTTCTTTCATTATAATTACTTGGTAATAATACTTCTGTTGTAATTCTATATTTAAAATTATATTATTTAGTTATATTTACAGGCAAAAAATATTGTTTGGTTTTATATATACAGGCGCCAATATGAATTATATTCTTATCACATATTATCTTATATTACCTTGGAATGATATCTGAAAACACAAATTCTTAACATCATTTATTAGAGTATTTAAGTAATAAATGAAAATCACTAGATATGATTTGATTTTCTAAATTTAACTCATAATAATAATGAAGTAAATATTCCTCTACAGTCTTCCATTTTTTCATTTTTTGCTATATTCATTAAATAATCAAAAGCCAGGGTTCCAGAAACACCACCAAATAAGCGAAAAAATAAAAAGGTGCTAGCTTTGCAAAAAAAAAAAGAAAAAAATGTTTATATCAATAAAATTTAATAAAAAGATTTGTTTGCCGAAACCCGGGATTGAACCGGGGACCTTTAGATCTTCAGTCTAACGCTCTCCCAACTGAGCTATTTCGGCACATATGTTTATTTGTTCAAAATAAAAGCAAATTAAATATTATTATATTTTCTTGTAAATATTTTGATACAATTTTAAATGAAATATATTAAAAATATATTAAATGTACTATATTCAAATTATTAAAATATATATATGTACATATAACATTTTACATATATATAAATTTATATTAAAATTTGTTGACTTTATAAAAATAAATATTTTTTTGGTTTTTTTATTACAAGTACAAGTTTATGTTGCAAAGATAATGAAATATATTATTTTTTAACTTATATGTATGTGTGCTAAAAGAATTCATAGATTGATATAGGAAATCATATTGCAATCGCATCTGCTTATACTTTAAAGATACATGGACGAAAGCATTTGAGTCGGTTTGACGCCACATCAAGTTTAACGAAAACGTCAGCATTATTGTCAGCATTATTAATATTACCCAGAATGATATGTTTTTGAATATATTTAGAAGTTTATTTTTTAACAATCCAATGGAAATAATATAATATTATTATGTTATTTTTACCTAAAGGATGCTATATTAGTGCACTCTTTGACTTAATAATTATGGATTACATATATACATATACAAAGGTCATCAAATATGAATGATGACCTTGTATTAAAGAAATTTCAGTATGATTTTATAAGAAATTTCTTTATAATTCAATTAAAATAACATATGATATATATAAATATATTTTATTTATTATTAAATTAAATATTATTAAAAATATTAATAAATTCATTGATCAATAAAAATACTTTTCGTCAATCTATACTACACATCCCATATGGTCTAGTGGCTAGGATATCTGGCTTTCACCCAGAAGGCCCGGGTTCGATTCCCGGTATGGGAAATTTTTTTTATTTATAAATTCTATTCATGTTTTTTTCTTCTAATTTACACTTTTTTTCGTTAACTTAGGAACTTAACTATCGGCTTGATGAACAATATTTTCTACCTACTATTATAGTCTTTCTTAAATTAAAAGTAATTGAAAATCTCAGATAAAAATATATTAAAATCACAAAGGTTAAGTTTTAAACGTAATCTATAATACATAAACCCTTGCTTGCATTATAACTCCTAGAATACTTACTCGCTAGTTATAGTGGAAAATAAGACAAGGAAGACTACAACACTTTATGTAAAAATGTTTACAATATATTTTTCAACTATGGTAGCCTTTGACACTTTCGAATGTAGAACTTTAGGAAGTTACCAACAAGAAGTACATTAATACTGAAGTACGAAAACGTAAGGTTGGATGAGTTGTACACTAAATGAGACCTTACTTGACGTTCCTTATTTAACGGTGACTTGGAATACGTAGAATGCAAGTAGTCGTGAAAACCTTCAAACAACCATACGTTACAAGACATTATGTAAGATCTCAATACACCTCAGGAAGACCTAATAAAACTTAATAAATAAGTCCTTACTGTAACTGGGATATCAATTAATAAATTGTAAATAATAGTATGCAATAGATTAAACTGTTAATCTTGTGTAAAATTTTTGACCTTTTAAACAATGTTGTATGGATATAATAATAATTCTATTATTGTTAAGCCATTTGTTCTTATAGTTTGAGATAGAGAGATCCGATAAGTCTACTTACATTTTTTCTATATTCTATTAAATTCTATATAAATAACTTTTAAAATTCATAAGTGCCCAGTTAATATTATAATATTTATATAATATAAATAATAATAGCTATAATAATATTTATAATAATATATATAATATAATATATCGGCCTTCCCGTGGTACCTCTTGCAGTGCGTGTCTACCAGCTCTTGAAGATATGACACCAGAACACCTGATGTATTTTTGTCCAGGTCTGGCCAGAACTAGGTTTAAGCTTCTGGGGGCCCCCTTCTTCAACTCACTTAGCGATATCTCCAGCATTAGCCAGATTCTTACCTTTGTTAATGCCTCTGGCTGGTTCTAGGTTGACCCTCTATCTACTACCCACTATTACGAGGTTTTTTGTGGATTCAAAACGGCTTTCTCTTTTAGCTAATTGGGGAGGACTCGTCCTCCCTCCACTACAACTAACTAACATAATATATAATAATATATATAATACATAATAATATATATAATTAATGATAATATATATAATATATAATAATATATAATATATATAATATATATAATATATAATATATATAATATATATAATATATATAATATATATAATATATATAATATATATAATATATATAATATATATAATATATAATAATATGTAATAATAAAATAATATAATATTAGCTGAATTTGCCAACTGATAAATAAATGACCTATTCCACAAAAATAAATATTAAAAATAATAATTACAGTTTTTTGGAGCATTAAAATTTTATTTAATATCAATAATTTATGTTTATTATATTATTCAGTTTTATAAATATTACTACAAAACTAAATGCGGAAGTTAATAGATTTTACTTCACATACAATTATAAAAGATAGTATTTTGCTTTTTTTTTAAATTATAAAAAAAAATTCATATAAAAAATTGTGCTGAACCTATGTACTACAAACTGTCATATGTACGTATGTAAGTAGTAAATGCACTTAACTATGCGCATGTATATATATATAATATATCAGTATAAAAACTACTGTAAGACATATGTATGTTTGCATACATGTTAATTAAATATTATTACATATATAAAAATTTTGTATATAAATAGTGTTGTTTGTATATAAAAATTAATATAAGAAGTCACACATTGCCTAAAATGTAATGTTAAGTGTGGCTTAGTTTAGTTAACCTTTCGTTCTATTTGTTCGAAAGTAAGTCTTACATTTTTCAGTTTCGTTTTAAATGATATAAAATGAAACAAATTAATTACAGTTTAAATGAAATAAACTAACTCGAACGATAATTTTAAAATCGTTACGATTTGAGCTGTGTTTTTTTTTTCTTATGTGTTTACCAACAATTTGAATTCAATTGATATGGCGTTAAATCTTTAGTAATTGAAAGTTTTGCTCCATCAGTAACCATTTTATGTGTGAGTGCAGCTAAATTCTTGGCATCATCAATGCCCGAGTGTTCACGACCCTCGAATGTCAGACCAACATGTTGCAAAGCATCGGCAAAATTCATTGGGCGATAATTATACCATTCACGATATACGGCGCGTATATCAATCCACTGATTGAAAAATGAAGGCTTCTTCAAACCTTTGCGAGCACATTCCTTAGCTAAACAAATACCAAAATCCCAATCAGTCCAAGTAACAAGTGCACACGACTTGCTTTGCTTACTCTCCTTCGTCATTTTTGGTAGCACCAGATTTCGTGCCCTCAGTTCTTTACGCAACCATTCTTGGAATATTGTTAGCGCTATCTGCAATGGCATACCGCTTTCCACAGTTTTTTGCGTTATTCCCGTAAGTGAAGTGCAAAATGCACTTAATTTTGGTATCTCAATTGGCAATATGTATTTGTGAAATTCAGCCTCAATTTTACCAGTTTTTAGGTTAATAAGTACAGCAGGAAATTCTATAATAAAACAAAACAATAGATAAATGGCATTGTATAAGGAATTGTAATTGTAATTGATATTACCTATGATTTCTGATTCACGCCATGATGGCGGTGCTTGATCTTCCCAACAAGTCGCTTCAAAATCTATTGCCACCACATAATCATAGTTCTGATTCGATAAATTGGATTTACGTGATTTAGTTGTGGAAGTGGTACTCCGTTGGTTTCCATCAACATATATGGTTTCGAGAAGACCCAGTTGTCTAGAAGATTCAGAAGAAGAAAAATATGAAAGCAAATTAATATTATTATATAGATTTTAAACATGAAAATTTATGTAAAGATAAATAGAATTAATAAATAAATTGGCATATAGTAATGATAAGGTTTATAGAATAGTTCACGGATAAATGGCGCTAAAGATTTTGAATTTCTAAAACTATACACAGGTTAATAGAATCAATAAATTTAATATAATTTACAAACGGTTTATTAAGTATAGATCACGTATAAATGTTTCTATAGATTGATAATTTCTTAAATTTATATAGACGAAACGATTTCTACAGTAGTCTAAATGTCTATATAGATTGTGAGTTTTTTAATTTACTCTAAGGGGAGCGAAAGTAATAAATCTGATAAAGTTAGTAGAGGATTTATACAGAAGTTCAGGGATAAATGCTTTTCTTTGAAGCCCGTTTCTACTTTTATTATTATTGTCAACGCAATGAGCACTGCGACCGTGGGGTCTATTGTACCCCCTTCTGGATTTAGAGTATGTCTCTAAGTTATGTTGCGTCAATGAGAAGTAGTGTAGAACCTACTTTACAGTCTTATTGTCTTTTCCGTAAGGGTGTACATTCACAGGAGTCTATTCCGTTTATGCATTAGTGCAGGACATTCTAACAGCACATGTGTAGCTGATTCCTTATTCTTTTCGCAGAATCTAAAGTTTGCATCCGTATATATACCCAGTTTTATGGGTATATAAAACCTAAAAAAAGGCCCTTTGGTATATTAAAGAATAACAGTGATGCAAGATTAAAGTTTATTGTAAACCCAGCATGTGATTTGTTGTGGTTTAGTGGCCCTTCTTAATGTAAGATTCAATTTTTGGATAAATGCACTAAGAGATAGCAATATTTTCATGAATAGATATATCTAGGAATTATTGTATATATTGTATGCGAAAGAACTAATATTGATAACAGATAAGTTTTAAATACATTTTTTTTAACATTATACAGGATTTCAAAGCAAAGAAATACCTAATCCAAATACTAATTTCAAAATAGTAACGTACTGTCTACTTCAATCTACATACTTTTCTATTTATTTATTTTTGTATCCAAACCTCCAGTTATCTGCTAACAGGAGATTTGTCACTGTCTTGGTTCCATAACCATGACACATAGACAAATTCACAGCTCCAAAAGCTGGGAAAAAGTATACAGATTGACATTATTATTAATAATTTTAAATTAAAGAAACGTTTTAATTGTCCAACATACCAAAATGGTACGTAAGTTCTCTACTGCTTGCCAAAGCAAACTATCATTGGTTTATCACGCAATAAAAAGCCATTGGTATCCTTTAGAGCATTTGCCACAATCGCTTCTACATCATCACTGGGCATATTAATGAATGTTACAAAAGCTTGTCCTTTCATGCGTCCCTGCTGCATAACTTTTACTTCCAAATGCTCACGACTGGGCACAAAGCGTTCATACAACAATATTAAATCCTCTTCAGAAACTTCCTTTGCTAAGTTTTTAATGTACAGTTTTTGACTTGGAGTACCAATTTGATAGTTCTTATAAATTGGTAGTTCCTGCAATTGTTCCGTAGTCAATTGTTGTGTAGTTAATAGAGCGGGTGGTACAATAGGTGCTACATTTTGTGGCTTAGGTTTCAAATTTAAAGCAATTTGTTGTGGTTTCAGTTTTTGTGGTTTTTCAAAAACGGTTGCTAAAGTTGCAGGCTTAGGTGTCTCATTCATATTCACAGGAATAACACTTTGTGTATGTTGTGTTGCTTTTAGTATTAAACGTGCCTTTTTCTGATAAAGTTCCTTACTATCGCTGACTTTACGTTTAATGGGTACTTCAGTTCTTTTCACACGTTTTTGTTCATCTTCCGATGATTCCAGTTCAGATTCTGAAGCAGATTTTGTTATTGTTTCAGTAGGCATAATATATTCAGTTTCCGTTTGTGTTGATGCTACTTTTGGCGGTTGGATTGGCTGAAATTTTCCTACTCTAGGTCCGAATGGTGGCTCCAAATTCATACGATTCATTAAATGTAAAACTTGTGTATAAAATGTTACATTACTCATTAAAGCTATACAAATTGAGTCCATTATATCTGGCGTTATTTTCGGATAGGCATATTTTAGGTAGGGCGGAGGCGGTTGGTTAAAGTTTAAATTGGCATTGCATGCGTATAATTTCTGAACGTACTTGTTTATTTTCGGCATATCAGGTTCAGATTCATTTCCATTTTCATTTGTTTGTGTGGATTTTGTTTTTTGCAATTGTTTTATTCCACCTTCAATGAAATTACTAACACATAATTTCTTATTTAATAATTGTTGATTTTGTAGAATATCAAATGCCTTCGCCGCGTCCGTTTCAGTCGCATAAGTTATAAGTGCACGTTTCCTACCAAAAGCCTTTATATTTTGTTGCGCAGGTAAATTTAATTTTTTTAAAAAATCTTCAAGTATTTGTAAACGTTTTGGCACATTTTTTATTAATAAAATATAAGCAGTTTTATTTTCTTTATTCTGCATTTTGTACAAATATAATAAATAACTTTGGCGGATGCTATTTCAGCTGTTCACTTTTGACAGTTCGAAAATTATGAGCGGCGAGTTTGCATATCTCGCTGCTACTGAATTGTCAGTGAGAATAATCTGTCAAATATTGATTTTTGAGCATTAGATAGAGTTGCCATATCATATCATTCTTATAACTTTGTGTAATTGTTAAATTATTAAGTAAATTTATATTATCGTATAATCCGTTAATAAACAGATATACATTATTTAATTTTAATAATATAATTGTATTAAATATATTATATATATATATAAATTTATTTATATAAGTTTAAAATACATAAATTTAATATATATTATTAAAATGTTATCGATAATATAACTAAGATTAAATTTAAATTTATTCTCATTATAAATTAGTTTAATTTTACCAGCAGTACTGAATTTATATAGTTAAGTTATTACTAAGATATGATAATTAAGGACCACGGTTGCCACTTGAAAATTTTTTTCTGTACCAAAATTGGTTTAAAAAGGTACCATTTCTGTAAAAAAAGGTCCAAAATTTTTTTGGACCTTTTTGTTTTCTCGTTCTGTGTTTTTCATAGTGTTATAAATGAACAAAATATAAAATAGTGCAAAATTGCATTTATTAAAAAAATTAATTGGAAATATCCACAATAAAGTTGGGTTGTCCGTCAAAAATGGACCATTTTTTGAAAGTGAGTACCAAACGAAAAAAAAAAAAAAAAGTACCAATTTTGGTACTAAAGTACCATAAGTGGCAACCGTGTTAAGGATGCATGTATGTATAAAAAAAAATTATTTGATACTGTTTTAAGGAATTATTTAATTTTTTTTAAATTGTTATTTATTTTGTCAGACCAACACATTTTCTCCATTTAAGGATGATATGAACAAATTTAATTTTGGTATATAATAAAAATAATAGATATATAATAAATAATAATAGTCAGTGTCTATTCCAGCAACAATTGGGATTGTACTTCCAAATAAGATTCCTTTGTGCTATTCAGACAGAACTGTTTTCACCTGACATAATCCGGTGGAACTATTTTCTTTTTTAAAATTTAATATTACTTTCTAGAGAGAGATGTTTATAGGCAATGCAGACTCCAAACAAGAACGGATGACTGAAAGTTTATAATTCTTCTAATTCACAAAATATATATAGAGGATTGGGTCAAGCTCTAGCATAAATGTGCTGTGGGAATATATACTTTAAAGGCGACAAAGTAAATTCTGATTGGTTAACGATTTTTTTATTGTGTTTTAATAAATGTTTCCTAATACTTTATATACTAAATTGACGTAATAATAGTTATTTACACAATTGTATGATTAAGTGTTCACAGTATTGGCTAGTGTCGAAACAAAATAAAAAATGAAATGTTATAACATATATCATAATAAATAAATTTTTTAATGAAAACTTTTGTTTTTGACATTTTTAAAAATTTGTTATTTACTTTTATTGCTTTTTGAAAATGGCTTTTTCATGTTAGCCAATTATAGTCTCCATTATATTTGTTGTTCATTTATATTAATACTTTTACATGTGATTGCGTGCGTTGTTTTGATTAAAATGATTTGATATAATTTTTCAGCAAAAGAAATAAATTAATGGATAGTTGTGCTGTTTCAGCTTAATTATTTTAAATATTTTTGTGTTTGTACTAATTACTACACAATTACCGAGTTAATTGCGATAATATGTTAACTAAAGTGGCA